ACAGATACCAGGTGTCAGTTTAAAACGGGATTTGGCCCGGATTTCAAAGTGGAATTTGGGTCGGGTCGTTTCAATTGGTATCAGAGCAGTAGGTTAACTTCCTGTAGACACAGCACTACATGTGCATCCTTATTTTGAGAATTGTTGGACAGTTGCTTGGTTATTTTATTTCATTGGAGTGGTGAGTAAACAGACACCTAGAAAAGATTTGAGAAATTTGTTGCGGTTTTCTTATAAAATCTTGTTATACATGTTTTTGTATATACACACATATGTCGAGAACTGAGGTTTAGCAAGATGAGTATTTCTTTATCTGTTTTTTTTTTATATTTGTTCATATAATAAATTTAATATTGGAATGACATGCTAAGCAAAGAGCAATGTGGTTAACCAGCTAGCTGAGTAGTTGGTGCATATATTCAGGAGTTGAAAAGGAAGAAATTTAATTTTTGGTTTTCATCATATTTTGGTACATATAAATATATGTATATATTGTTGCATATATGAATATCTTTTAAGTTCAGTTGAAAACCAATTTATCGAAAGTTCGTGTAAATAGCAGATTATGGTTTTCAAACCCACCGTGAGGGTACCCCCAGATATACAGATATTGCCTTCGGATATGATGATGTCCACGGACATCCAGGTTGCCTTTGGATTTTATCAGTTGCCTTCTGTTTAGTCAGCATGCTTGACAGTTGCCCCACGAGTTCCTTGGTCCCCGAATCCTGCCAGTTTGCGGCTCAGGTTGACTCTGTGTCACCGAGACCGGCCAGGGGAATTGACGGATATCAGTTGCGGCTCGGGTTGATTTTGTATCCTCGAGACCTGCCAGGGGAATTGACGGTTATCAGGAATTGATGGATATCAGGAATTGACGGATCAGCTATGGGGGTACGCCTAGGTGGAGAGGATTTTATACAGTTATCATTATTTTCTTAAGCATTATATCTACTTTACAAGCGATAGATGGAAATATATATAGATTCTAATCAAGTTATTGATATATAGATGGAAACATTTATTTATGAACTTTACGCGAGTTCGATACAAGGGTGTTCGGAGGTTATAAATCTTTAACTTATTTTATTTTATTATGTTTATTTATCTTTATCTTGCATTATTTTATATAGTATTAAATAGCTTAAGTTTTTCTAATTTGCCCCACGAGTCTTACAGTTATCCGGACCGTGGGAGCCAGGATTGCGGATCAGGTTGACCAAATGTCTCCTGAGTCCAGCAAGGATTACAAAGCAGGATGAACTATATATTCAATGTTTTTTTTTTCAGCAAGAGTATTGCTTAGTAAGTTATGTATAAGCAGGAATGCATGAGTTCAGTATCTTATTATATGCTTTTAAATATTTTAAGTTACAGGCTGTTGAATGAGATTACCAGAGTTTATGTTTGATCTGAAGGTTGAGATGAATTTTATGAGCAAGTTCATTTATTTGAATTGTTGCAACCTGAGGCTTGAGTGTTATGATCCTTGATTCATTTTGGATATAATTCGATACATGCTGGCAGTTGTGATATAGATATATATTTAAACATATATACTTGTTTTACAGGTAGAAATTTTTTGGAAAATGTTCAGTTACAAGGGAGACTCTGCTGAATTTTTGGTAGAAGTCACATTAAAATTTTATTTAAATTCAGTTAAAAAGGTAAACTAGTCTTTTACACCCAGTATTAGCCAGGTGTCAGACACTCAGAGGGAAAAAGAGATTTTAGCTAAATCTTAGAGTCAGGGCAGCATAGTTTTAAATTTATCAGAATTCAGTTATTTACCAGATCTTTTCAGAGCTTTATATTTCCTTAAGCCACCTCAGGTATTCAGACATAAATGTGTGACCTCCAGATTTTATTGAATGCCTTATAGTTACAGTTTTTGAGATGCAATAGGTGAGTACAGTTTCAAAAGAACAGACTTGAGAATCCGAGTAATAGATGCAGGCTTAGTACCCTCACCTTTCCGAGTGATGGGTAAGTAAATTTCGAGGACGAAATTTTTTTTTAAGGGGGGTAGATTGTAATAACCCAAACCTAAAATTAATATTTAATTATTAATTTATTTGAGAAAAAGACAAAAATACCCCGAGAATATTTTATTAGTTTAAAAGTTGACTTTTTGATAGGGAAGGAATTTGGGGATTTTAGCTGTACCGTTGCGTAGAGCGCGACGAAACGAGTTCGTAGACATGTAGTGGACTCAAATCGGAATTGTAACGAAGGAGTTACGATCAAAAGAAGTTCAGTGGCATAACCGTAAATATTTCGAAGTTCAGATTTTATAAACCCAGATTTTCCTGGTTTTCGGGAGAGGATGAGCCGACTTTGGGAGCTGTTTTCTCTCAGCTCCGACCTTCGATTCAGGCAAGACCAGTGCCAGACGAACCACCAAACATCCCTCTTCCAACTTCAGCCCTTCGCCGCCTCTATCTGCCGCCATAGTAGCCGGAAACAGCCGCGAAACTGGCGGTGGTCGACAGGTTTT